GGCTCATCTGCTCAGTGTCTCCTCCCCCAGCAACAGGCTAAACTCCCACAGGGCCCAAATCATGGACTCCCTTGAGAGCAGCTGGGGTAGAAATGCCGCCCTGTTTATAACTAGAGATGGGCCCAGGCCAGGAAGTTCAGATCCAGGGTTTTGATTCAGCTTTTATGGCAACAGTTGTCAGCTGCAAAACTGAGATCTGGAGCTAGGGTTAGAATCTGCAAATCTCACCCCCCAATGTTCTGGTGGGTTCAGATCAGTGAGTTGGGCTGAGCCCATCTGTACTAACAACAGAGGACAATCTTCTCATCTCTCTCAGAGGTGAGAAATGAGGTCTGCAGTGCACAGACGCCTTCCACCGAAGAAACTACTCCATTTCCTCCAGCACCTCACCTGGGGAGGTCACTGGGAGCCACTCCAAGGGGTGTGTGCTCAGGAGATGGTCACATGTTCCCATCCTGAGATTTCTGACAGAAATCTTATTCAATGGGATTAGACCCGACTGTGTAAAACGGGAACCGTGTGAGAAAATAGCTGTGTTTGCAGCAAGTGTCATAGAAATTCTGTGCTCTGCCCAGATTTGGGTCATTCAGCCTGAGTCTGCCCCTCCCCTGTTACCTTGTTCTGATCCAGGATCGTTTTCCCCCTCGCTGTCCCCGGTGTAATACTGCAGCTTCGTCACTGAGTCACCTGAATAGGAGACTGGAGAGACGAGAACCAGAAATTCATCACAGTGAGAACAGCAGAACTGTGGGACAGGGAACACATCCGGGGCCAGGGACAGGATTTCCAGTCTCAGTCTATTTCTTCTTCTACAGGAGATGGTGACTCACAGTGACTCTGAGCGGTGAGAGGCTGACACAGACTCCCCAAGAGAAATCTCCATGTTACTGTGGTAAATGTGACTGAGGGGATGCTGCAATCTGACCTGAAAGTGTCTGGGGTGAGTGAAGGGCACGTCTCTGGCTGCTGGTCCAGGGAAGTTCCACAATTGTCCTGGCCTCCTCAGCCACAGAGGGGACTCCTTCTTCTTAAGGGTAAATACCCGCCTCCCCCCCTCCGTGGTGTTTCCAGATAAGGCCAAGACAGGCGCAGAGCAGAGTCTGTGATTCACTGTAACCATTTTGGCAGTGGTGCTGGGGGATGCCCTGAGCATTTTCCCAGAGCCCCACCACAGCACAGCCCTTGGGCAGGATGTTCCCATCAGACATTGAGACAAAATGGAACAAAGGATAAAAGGGCCGTGATTCAAAGTCATGAGGATCTCCTGGGCTGATCTCTCTGCTCCGGGGGCAGGGAGGGAGCCGACCCAGCAGACCAGTGGCTGCAATGGGAGGGGGCACAGAACATCCAATGCTCCAGAGCAGTTTTCAAATGATAGTTTAGCCTGGTCCCAGACAGTCACTTTCCTGACCCCTCATTGTTTACACTCCAAGGCTGCAGGATGGGCAGAGTGACATTAACTGTCCCTAGAATTGGGACACTCAGTGTATGGTGGGAAGGAAACTCATCTCCCT